TCATCTACGTTATAATTTAGTATACCAGATGCACGTTTAGACACGGTAAAATAAGTGACAATAATATTACATTAAATCGTTTTGGACCGACATCGAATATATACCAATATTCAATATTTATATCAAATCAAAATTTTGTATTTGGCAAAACCTTTCGGAATGTCGGAATGTCGGGTTCTTAACGCTCTTTAACTTCTTATTATTTGGCCTTTTTAGCTTACCTGGCCCAAAGGGCCAAGTTAGCTTTTCTCATCACTTGGCGTCCGTCGTCCGTCGTCGTCGTCCGTCGTCGTCGTCTGTTAACTTTTACAAAAATCTTCTCCTCTGAAACTACTGGGCCAAATGAAACCAAACTTGGCAACAATCATCATTGGGCTGTTTAGTTTTAAAAAGGTGTCCGACGACCCTGCCTTTCAACCAAGATGGCCGACATGGATAAAAATAGAACATAGGGGTAAAATGCAAGTTTTGACTATTATTTTGAAAGCCATTATAAATAGAGAAAATCTAACGAGCCAAAAATGTTTAGAATGTTGAGTTCTACCAATTGTCCATATACGTCAAAACTGTCAGACGACTTCTTATAGGAGTTATTGCCCTGAAATGACAAATTTTACCATTTTTTTCATTTTTGCCTACTATCTTGAAAACTATAATAGATAAAGAGAAACTTAAAATTGCATAAATGATCAGCAAGACATGATCTACAAACAAGTCTGCATGGTCGAAATCGTCAATCGACTCCTTGTTAGAGTTATTGCCCTTTGATGACGATTTTTACCAATTTTTTTCGTTTTTGTCTTCTATCTTAAAAATTATAATAGATAGATAGAAACTTAAATAAGCAAAATGATCAGCAAGACAAGATCTGCTATTAAGATAACATGGAGGAAATCGTCCGACCACTCATTATTGGATTTATTGCCCTTTAATGTCGATTTTCACCCTTTTTTGCGTTTTGCCTTCAGTTATATGACAAAAGTTATAAAAGATAAATAGACACTTTAAATCACAAAAATGATCAGCAAGTCAAGTTTAGTAACAAGTCAAATTTTGCCGATATAGTTAGTAGCTATAGACTGTCTCTCTTTATAGGAGCCTCTTACCCTCTTTTCTGTTTTGAGCAAAAACTAAAGAAGATAGAGAGAAATTAAACAGACGATATGATCAGCAATACGAGATCAACAAAACAGAGATTTTTGTCATGAATTCTATTCTATTCTAGTCTACAATGTTGGAGAGTGTCCTTTGTTGAATATACACATAGACCAAGGTGAGCGACACAGGCTCTTTAGAGTCTCTAGTTATCTTTTTGATTCGAGCGTCACTGGTGAGTCTTTTGTAGACGAAACGCGCGTCTGGGGTACAAAATTTCACTCCTTGATTCTATGATGCGTTTATTTGTAATCTTAGCAAACATGTACATATTTACACAATCTTTTTCAAATCAAACTTTAAGGCTAAATCTTTTTCAGAAACATTTTTATTTGTAAGATCAGTTTCGTGAAAAAGAAATGCTTAGCGAATAATCAATAATGTTCAAATAAAGTTGCTAACAAAGTTTTGTCTAATTTGTCAATCTGTTAGATTTCGCACAGGATAAATAAATTAAATATTCATGTATATACAATATATGTACAATGTCGAGCATTTCTCTTGTTTCATAGCGAATACAAATAAATTCGGTATTTTTGACAATGTACATACATTGTTTTTATTCGGCAATTTATATCCGGTCATTTCAGGTTAAGTTGTTTCAATCCAAATTTTCAAAGAAATCGATATAGTTGAAACACGGACCGCAAAGAAGACACCAAAATGAACGGTCACACAAACAGAAATATTTACATTACCGTTTGCTCAATATGGAAGAAGAATGACAGAAGACTTTATTCAGGATAAATATATCTATTAGGTCATTAAAATCGAATTATTGCTTCCCAATTGGGTCTATTAGAATCAAGTGTAACAAAAAAGAAAGTTTTCATCAACATGTGCTAAATGTTTCATTTCAGGGGAAGACATTTCAGAGGATCGATTCTTTCAAGAACATTGTTTGGACATTGATGACAATTTCACAATAGATGGCTGTCCATCATTGTATCTTGACACAAGCGACTTTCACTTAGATTTTGAACCAGCACTCGAAACCTCAAATATTGAATGCAAAGGAATAGAAAACAATACTAAGGAAAATTTGTTAAACCTGTGTAAAGACGATATATTTTCAATATGCGATGTCAATCCACATGCCGTAATTGGCTCTAAGGGACAGGAATGCATGATTTACAATAAAGATATTGTTTTAGAATATTCTTGTACAGGTTAGTGAATATTAAACAAATTTGTCTCCAACTATTCATTATACACTCAAAAGGTAAAAACTCAATAGTGTTTGTGTGTGCGCGCTATTTAAAGGATTCCATATAGTTTTGATCCTTATCTATTTTATTTTGTATATGGTGATACGTAGATAATAGTTAATTTGTGTTTTCATATCGTTGATTCATCAACATTTCCCTCCCTTATATTATTTAATCATATCTAAAACTAGCGAACACATCTTAAACACTGTCTAGGTAAATAATGAAGTCAAATAGCAGCAATTAACATATGAGTTACGGGCAAACTTTGAGGCGGACTTTCCCTGTTTGTTAACTTTTGGAGTAATTTAACCATTCGTTGGATTTCCTTTTGGTTATATAATTTTATTGTTATATCGAATATTTAGCACAAATTGAGTTAAAATGGCTAATCAACTCAAAGATGATGAATTAAAATGCTAAATGACTATCTAAAGAAAAGAATGACAATGAACAATGTTTCATAAAACTTCTACACTTACTTACTACAATATTAAGATATTAGAAATGAGAGGCCATAACAGATAAACTTTAAAGATTCAGCAACCTAACGACACGAGATACACATCGCCAAAACCTGTGCAACAAATAAGGTGTCAATTAAAATACTACAAACCAGTAAAAGTCTGAAATGGCCTATATCTGTACTCGACTGTACTGATTTTTACTCGACCAGTCTAAATTGGTCTGAAATTTACTTGATATTACTCGACCCCAATCTTAATCATACTCGACTGTACTGATTTGTACTTGAACCTTATCTTTGTCATTGAAAAAAGTCTGAACTATTACTCGACCAGTCTGAAACATTCTTAACCCATTCTCGACCACTCGACCAGTTCTCGACCTATTTTTTCAGTCTGAACCATACTCGACCAAAGGTCTGAACAATACTCGACCAGTCTGAACCATACTTGACCAATAACCTCTACTTTTTTTAATTTTAACTGTTTATATAACTTTCTTTTTAACTGATATGACAACAGCCACAATAAAGTAAAGATATATTTTTACAGATTTTTACATCCTTGCATGATTTTCAGATTTATCAAATCTTTAAGTCTGAGTCTTGGTAAAAAAAAAGACTGAATAATATTATATATATAAACATATCTAAAAGGGATAAACAATTTAAAAAATGATTAAAATTGTTCTTCTGATCAGAGGTAAACTATAAAGTAATACCTCCTGCTCGGGACACATTCATCAAAAAGAGCACACTTGGTCAGATAGTAATAAATTTTAATTAACATCCTTTGAAAATTAAACAAGATGTTGTAAAACTTAAATCGCAAGGACTTTTGAACCCACTAGAAAAATAATACACGAGTTTAAAGAAACTAAAGGCTCTCAAGAGCCTGTTTCGCTCACCTGATTCTACTTTGGTTTTGGAAATCTTGTAAAAATAGATAAAAATCATAACAGATACTCTAATAATGATTGAGGTCAAATTTGGTTTAACATTGGCCCCGTAATTTAATCAAAAGCAGAAATTACCAATAAATTCATTGAAATTGTAGAAAATGACTTTATAAGGACAATGACAAATCAGCTACAAAGTAACAACACTTGGTCAGCACCTCAAAAGAAACATTCATACAATGTTTGGTTTCAATCCATTAAGTGGTTTTCTAGAAGAAAACATTTGTATATATTTCCCATAGGGTCCTTTGTTAAACTAAGTCCCCCATTGGCAGCCATCTTGGTTGATGGATTTGCTACAAAGTAACAACACTTGGTCAGCACCTCATAAGGAACATTCCTACCATGTTTGGTTTCATTCCATTCAGTGGTTCTTCAAAGGAAGACTTTTGTATGTATTTCACATAGGGTTATTTGTTAAACTAGGTTCCCCGCTGGCAGCCATCTTGGATGATTGATTGGCTACAAAGTAACAAGACTTGGTCAGCACCTCATTAGGAACATTCATGCCATGTTTGGTTTCATTCTTTTCAGTTGTTTTCTTAAAGAAAACATTTGTATGTAATTCCCATAGGGTCCTATGTTAAACTAAGTCCCCACTGGCGGCCATCTTGAATGATTGATCGCCTGCAAAGTTACAAAACTTGGTCAGCACCTCATAAGGAGCATTCGTGCCATGTTTTATTTCATTCCATTTAGTGGTTCTCTAAAAGAAGACATTTGTATGTATTTCCCATAGGGTCCTATGTTAAACTAAGTCCCTCTCTGGCGGCCATCTTGGATAATGAATCGGCTTCAAAGTAACAACAATTGGTCAACACATCATAAGTAACATTCATGCTATTTTTGGTTTCATTCCATTCAGTGGTTCTCTAAAAGAAGACATTTGTATGTATTTACCATAGGGTCCTATGTTAAACTAAGTCCCTATCTGGCGGCCATCTTGAATATTGGATCAGCTACATAGTAACAACACTTAGTCAGCACCTCATAAGGAATATTCATGCAATGTTTGGTTTCATTCCATTCAGTTGTTCTCTTGAAGAAGACATTTGTATGTATTGTCCATAGGGTCCTATGTAAAACGAAGTCCCAAGCTGGCGGCCATCTTGGAGGATAGAACGCCTTCAAAGTTACAACACTTGGTCAGCACCTCATAAGGAACATTCATGCCATGTTTTATTTCATTCCATTTAGTGGTTCTCTAAATGAAGACATTTATCCTGGTATCTATGATTAGTTTATTTATATGTATTTCCCATAGGGTCCTATGTTAAACTAAGTCCACTGCTTGCGGCCATGTTGAATGATGGATCGTCTTCAAAGTAACAACACTTTGTCAGCACCTCATAAGGAACATTCATGCTATGTTTGGTTTCATTCCATTCAGTGGTTCTCTAAAAGAAGACATTTGTATGTATTTCCCATAGGGTCCTATGTTAAACGATGTCCTCCGCTGGCGGCCATCTTGGATGATGGATCGGCTTCAAAGTAACAACACTTGGTCAACACCTAATAAGGAACATTCATGCCATGTTTGGTTTCATTCCATTTAGTGGTTCCCTTAAAGAAGACATTTGTATGTATTGTCCATAGGGTCCCATGTTAAATGAAGTCCCCCGCTGGCGGCCATCTCGGATGATTGATCGGCTTCAAAGTAACAACTCTTGGTCAGCACCTCATAAGGAACATTCATGTCATGTTTGGTTTCATTCCATTTTGTGGTTCTCTAGAAGAAGTTCAAAATGTAAAAAGTTAACGACGACGACGACGACGGACGACGGACACCAAGTGATGTGAAAAGCTAACTTGGCTCTTCGGGCCAGGTGAACTAAAAATAGAACTTCTATTTACCTGTAAAACACACCTGTACTGAGGTAATTTAACGTTATGAAGGTGCTTCGTATGTGCCATGTCTTAAATTTTGACAAAACTTTATTTATCATTCTAATTTTTTACTGAAACTTTGGAACACAATTTCTTTTTTAAAAGGTTATCAAGGATTGCTATGGAAGTTCTATAATATTAAATTCTTGGTGTTACAAAACAAGGGTGTCATTTTTAAAATTTAGTAATTAGCTTTGTTTACAATTAAAAAAAAAAGTTCATTGCCTTATTAGATAAACTCGACTGACACCATCAATTTAGAATGTAGGACAGAAGTCACAGAACAACAACATTTTTGTATTTTTCTTTTAATATATAAAAGCAATTTTGTAAACAAAAATGTCTTCTAAAAAATCAATAATGATCAAAAAATTGTTAAGAAAACATGATTTAATTTGATAAATCTTCATTTTTCAAGGCATTTCACCAATTTCCTTAACTGTATAACATGAATAAATGTAATAAAAAGTAATTATTTCATGTTCTTATTCTTATATATTCAAACAATTATAAACAAATTATTTGTGAATTTTTGTCCTGACGTGTGACTTTTTTTCCCATCAAATTTGTGACTTGTGACTTTCTGTCCGTTTACCTAAATTTTTACCAGGCTTAAGTTATTGTTGAAAATTTTCAGTAACCACAAAATATATATCTGAACATTCAAAAAGTTTTGAATAACATTTAAGATATTTTTATAAAGATCGAAAGTTCTAGTATTTTTGATGTACATAATGCAATGTGAACATGATCATGTATATAAAAATTCATTTAACTAAAAACTTATTTTACATGCATTGCATGATATTTTTTTAATCGGACCAGAAATCATTCCTTTGATCATTTTGTTTTTTTTTATTTTAGAGGTGATATATATGATGAATATGGTGTTGAAGATTTATATTATGTTTATTGAGAAATTTTGGTTTCAATGCTATATTAAATACATTTACATTTTGGATTTCAAATTGTTGTTCAAATTTATAGCCAAGGGAAATAACTAAAAATTAGTTCCTAAATTGATGAAATACAATAGATAGATAGATACAGAATTAGGTCTAGGATGGTTAAGACTTGGTCGAGTATGGTTCAGACTAGGTAGAGCATGGTTCAGACTAGGTCGAGCATGGTTCAAACTTGGTCGAGAATGGTTCAGACACTTATAAAATGGTAAAGTACTGGTCGAGTAAAGGTCGAGAACAAGTTCAGACTGTTAAGTATGGTTCAGACTACAGTCGAGTAATATCAAGTAAATTTCAGACCAATTCAGACTGATCGAGTAAACATCAGTACAGTCAAGTACAGACATAGGCCATTTCAGACTTTTACTGGTTTGTAGTGAAAGTTAAATGACTCCAAGACTTATACTAATGTATCTACCATTTGTATCTCCCAGTAATTAAACATATTATTTTCGTTGTCAAAAGCTAAAAGAATGCGATATCAAGTTGTATTACAGTGCAATTAGGTAGTTGTAAGTTATTGACATTGCAGTGGCGTGGAAGTATTCGAGTCGCGTCACTCCCCTTAAACAACTTTACGATATCGATAGAGCATATAGTTTAAAATGCAATAACAGAATCTTTGTAAGCACGCTCACATACCCCACGCCCCCACATTTTCACTGGGCAAACAAAATCTAATCAGATTCCTAAGTTCAAAGACTCGTTACTCCCACAAAAGTAAAATGAAAAAATGTTCTTGTGAATTTGCACGTCTACATAATCTGTGGTTTCAGAGGAGTTGCGCTGACAAACTATTCCAGTAGTAAATCATGGCCAAATTATAAGTTCAAATAGGCATAACTACTAGACAAAAAACAATAAATCATAATTTCCTGTTGATATGCACATCTACATAGTATGTCTGTAGTTTCATGAAATTTTGTTGTGTGGTTTCAGAGGCGTTGCGAAGAAAAAACTGCTGCAGAAGTATATGTATGCCAACATTCTAATTTCAAAAGGGCAAAACTCAGTAAAAATAATTTGAATCATAATTTCCTGTCGATATGCACATCAACATAGTAGGTCCTTACCATTTACAAAGCTTCATGAAATGTTGTTGCGTGGTTTCAGAGGTATTGAGATGACAAGAACAGGAACGACAGACGGACTGGCGGACAGACTGATGGACTGACGGACTGTCGACCTTTTGACAACTACAAGGTGTTTAACGACACTAACTTCCCACGAGGGTTTCGCACGGTAGATTGTACAAAACTACTACTACAGTAACTGTAATAAAGATAATTACGACGAAAGACAGGGCAATGACATAATCAGGTATTTCAACCCTTATACATGTTATATGTACTGGAATAAATGTTGTAATTAAGTAAAAAAAAAAATGAATAGAGAACAGTTTGAAGACATTTAATCTTAGACGGCGTTTGTTTTCTTTTTTGTCTGTCGGCATAGGCATGCATGTACATAATGCAGACACAGGTCAAACGATTGGATTTTTGAGTCAACTCTTCCAAAAAAAAAATTCTTTCACCAATTTACTCTTGAAGCATTTTTGTTTATTAAAATCTGATACTGTTTCGTATTTATTGTAGAATTACCATCAATAAATGAGTACAGTACTGTCCCATATAACACGGAGGAAATTGTTGGTAAGTATAAACTAGATATAGATAAATTCATCATAGATACGAGAATTAACAGTGTGTACGCCAGACGCGCGTTTCCTCTTAAAAAGACTCGTCAGTGACGTGACTATAGTAACATGGACAACAGGAAATTATCATAATTAGTTTTTCTAATGTTTCACTGACATTCATTTTTATCCAAAATACCACAAAACTGTGTACATGATATTTCTATTTACCAAAAAAAAAAATTGTAACCAGATGTCAGCTCTTGTCGCATTGCATTTTCTTTTCTTCTCAACAAATAATATTCATAAATGAATGACAAATAACACTTTATTAATTTCGTGCGTCTGAAGCGATTCTCCGGATTTGCCTTTAACCGTAACGCTCAAACTCTGAATTTGAAAGCCAAAGATGTAAATCTCTAAATCGTCCAAGTCTAAATTATATTTTAAACATATGAGAATCAGATAGAAAAAAATTTCAAAACCTAAGGAAAATTATAATTTTTTGTTTTAACAGACTTGACACTTGTGGCCGTGGCCATTGCTGCTTGTGTTGGATTGATTGCCTGTCTAATCATTGCCGGGATATGCATATTCAAACGGTATCTACTACAATTAATATTTTAAGTCAGCCTTATAAATTATAAAATCAATCTATACATTAAACAATGCATCGAGTATACGTGAAAGACAGACACATTCAAAACACGAAACTGCAGAGGATTTTCATAAATGGAACCTGTCGAAACCATAATGTTTAACCCCGCCGCAATTTTGCGCCTGTCCCAAGTCAGGAGCCTCTGGCCTTTGTTAGTCTTGTATGTTTTTTTTTTTTATTTTAGCTCATTTATATGTTTTGGAGTTTAATATCACGTCCATTTTCACTGAACTAGTACACATTTTTATTTAGGGGCCAGCTGAAGCCCGCCTCCGGGTGCGGGATTTTCTCGCTGTGTTGAAGACCTATTGGTGGTTTTCGGCTGTTTTCTGCTTTTTGGTCGGGTTGTTGTCTCTTTGACATATTCCCCATTTCCATTCTCACAATTTTATAATATCATTTCGCACGAGAGTAGTAGGTGGAATTTTTCAACATTTTCGAACAATACTTTTTGAAGGCAATCTTTCTTTAAACATCAAACTTAATATTAACCTTACAAACATAAATACCATGCCGTTTTACCCCTCACAAATGTAGTACAAGTTAGAAATGAAGATAACAGTTCTGAAACAGTACACAACAGAAAAAAAAAAAACACAAAGACATGATGAACCACATAATACAGAAAAAACGCAATCACGATCCAATATATCTGCAACTCTTAACACGCTATTATGAATCAAATTAGTTACAATTTTCAAACAGTAAAAGACCGTAAAAAGTTACGAAAGTCATTGATCTCAATTCTGAAATGTTACAGACATACCACGGCACATTTTATTTTTATAATAAATATGTGTTGGGGTTAAATTTTTGTATTTGAATTATCATAAATTTTAGCTAAAGACAAAATTGAGACAGTTACGCATTTGCTTTGTAAAATCTGCAAATTAGGAATGATGATTATATTTCATGAATTTAATATACGAATTAAAAAAAAATGTCATCAATGAGACATCAATGACTTCCCTTAAACTAAAAAAATAATAGCCAAAAATGGGTCATCTCCTCAATACTTTTTCATATTTTCCACACGAAACTTTTCACAGCACTAGCTTATTGGAAAGCAGAAATCAAATTTATTAGCACTGTTTATTTGCGGCAGTAGGAATTAGACGTTATGAAATATATAAATATCTGAATATCGACATTACAGATTATTACGGATATGTTCCAAATTACATAGCCGCTGCAATCCAATCCTCTTTTCCTCGATTGTGAATTCATGGAATGAGATTTTATATAAAAAGAAATATATGTCATGAGGGGTGCCACCTACCATTTATGAGTACCTGAGATCCTCGATGATTTGGTTATGTTCGTATTTCTTAGTCTTTTGTATCCCGAGTAACGTTTCATAAACTTGTTCGCCTTTTCGTAATTTCGCTTCTTGACCATGGTGTTGTCGGTATTTTCTTCGACTGATCATTTATGATTTTCTGTTTGATATTTTCTGCCTCTGTAAAATCTTTATCGTCACTACCAAAACTAAACTTGATATTATTGTTATATACAAATGCACATTCACGGTTCTACAATCTGTCGATACCTTTAGCTTGGCATTGTACAACGTCATGTTTTTTATCTGACTGTTAATGACGTCTTTACATTTAATCCATTGGATGTGTACTGATTGACATTTCAGTCTAAGAAAAACGATTTTGTAATTAGTTGTTATTGGCTTTGAACTAGCTTTTAGTAACTGCGAGTGCTCTCAGATCTGTACTTTGTGTTTTTTTGTTGTTGTGGGGAGGTATAAATACCCTACTACGTCCGATCTGTGTTTTTGTTGGCTGTTTTTCTACTTTGTATCGATCTGATGAGTTAAGCTGTTTTCAACTGATATTCATAGTTTGTTCATATTGGGTACTGTTACCCAGCTGTCCCAATTTAAGGGGAGGGTTTGACGCCAGCAAACTGGTTCAACCCTGTCACGCTCTATATGTGTCTGTCCGAAGTCAGGAGCCTGTAGTTCAGTCGATGTCGTTGGTTTATGTCTGTCATATTTGTTTTTCGTAATTGTTTTTCGTAAATTGTTTTGTTATAAATTAGGCCGTTTGTTTTCTCAATTGAATTGTTTCATATTTTTCATATCGGGGCCTCTTATAGCCGACTATATAGTATGGGTTTTTCTCATAGTTTAAGGCCGTACGATTGCCTATAATTGCTTCCATCCACTTCGTCTGAACTGTGGTGGATAGTTGTCACATTGACAATCATACATCTCCTTTTTTTTATATTGAAATTGCTTACAAACAAAAAATGAATACTATAATATAGTGTCTCATTTATTTACAGACAAACAGAAAACCAACGAACACTCAACAACGATAACACAAGTCGCAAATCTGACAGTATCAATATCGGTAAAACAAATAAAGTAAGGAGTACAACAAAAATAGATGCTTCCCTGGCTGTTCATGAATATATAGACATTGATTTGTGTAAAGGAACTTCGGTTTCTGATCAATCGAAAAACAAGGAAAACGTGATTGCGTATGAATTAGCAAAGCCTCTAACGTCTGATACTGGGAGTGCCTTTCCATATGATCTAGCGAAACCACAAAGTACGGTTGTTAAAGATATTCGCTCTTACGACATTGGTGGATCGATTATACCGAATGAATGTTCTGCGTATGACACAACTAAAATGAACGATACCACAATATATAACGGCTACAACGAGACAGAAAACATTCCTATTTATAGTCGAACATTTGACGGATTATATGATGTTGCAAGCAGCGGAAAACGAAATGTTAGAAGCGATAATACATATGAGCATTGCGCTATTCAAGACAAACAATGATAACAATAACTGGTTTACGGTAACTTACCATGTCATAAGCAAAGATATGTTAAGTTCTGTATATGTAATAAATCCAAAGACGGATGGCATTAATACAATAATTGTTTTCTAAGTATTTTTATTGGCATTTAAAACTGACGTTATTTATTTTATAAATGTTCAAAACATGAGTGAAGGACAAAAAGTCACACCAAAATTATTATTCTGTTGATCATTTAACACTTTAAAATTAAATGCCGATTTTCTGTTCGGAATACATTTGACCATAAACTCATAGGGAATACATTTTACCATAAACTTACAGTATTAAGATAAATAAAAAACCTGAAAACGCGTACAGGGGACTCAAAATCTTTTTTTCAATATCATTTCATGATTCCTTTGTTTTACAGTTAATAATATTTTATATGAGAATAAGGAGATGTGGTATGATTGCCAATGAGACAACTATCCCCCAGAGTTCAAATTACTTTGATTTTAGAAATTATAGGACATCATATGGCCTTCAAAATGAGAAAAAACCATTAAATTGTAGTAAGCAATTAAACGTATAAACATATATGTATGTTTTTTTATATACTACTATAATGGACCCGGGAGTTTTAAAAAGGGTCTCGAGACAGTGACAGCAGCAAAAATCAGAAAAATGCAACATAATGCACAACTGTTCTACCATAGACGACTAGGGAAATCTTGCTCCCACTTTATACAGCCCTATTCTATTTGTCATTTGCCTCCTCCTCTTAATCCGCCGTGTATTATTTGCTATAAACTTTGATGAAAATAACATTAAATATATGATGCAACAGTACAATAAATACATTATAATATTTGATCCCTTTTAACTCATGGTCTCAACTCCCACGGGGAAAGTTGACCTTAGATGGTATTTGGCTATTTTTTAGGCCCTTTTTGGTCATATAGCTCTTCAACTGTTTCGGTTCTGACACATCTTTAGCTTTCACATATTCGACTTTTGGGATGAAATAAATCCAGAAAAGCGATTCGGATGCATGAAAATAACGTGTTGTTTTCATTTATTTTTTTTATTCAAAAGTTTTAAAAAAAAAAAAACCAACATGCGTATACAATATGCGTTCACTTGTGTAAAGTTAGGTAAATATATTCGCAGATTTCCGTAGATGTATATGTATTTTTTAATAGAAGCTAAGACCTGGACAACCGGTGAAAAAGGATACAATCGTCTGTTATGAATCAAGCGGAATGTGCGGATGATACAATTGAATCCACGAAAATTGTAAATGTTATTGAATATCAAAACTAGAAATATTATATTCTTGTATTTCATATAAAACTCCAGGAATATGCGATGCAAGTATATGTTGCCTTTGTCTATTTGATGGTTTATTAGGGAAGAGTTTGAAAAAAAGAGACTGAAGATGCCAGGGAGATATTCAAAACGGTAAGTCGAGATAAACTGACATGACAAAAATGAAAGACGATGACAAGACAACCAAGTGCACAAAAAATTACAAAGACCATGAAGACCGAGCAACATGAATCCCACTAAAAACTCGGGGTGATCTCAGGTAATCAGATCCTGCTCCACTAGTTGCACCCGGCTGTCGTGTTACTCGTGGTAAGTAAACTTTCGCAAGCATTTGGAAGGATATTGAAAAATGAGGATCCTGAGAAGTCTATTTTTATATGAAAAATTGAAGGATTTGTATGCACCACCACGACAATGAATGACGCATTTACAGTAAACATTGTCCGTTTATTTGTCAGTCGGTCGATCGTTCCGTCCGTTCGTCCGTCCGCCTAGTTTAACTTTTGTGTTTTGGGCTATAAATCCGTTATTAGAATGACATTTGGTCAATCTATATATTAAAGGTAATATAAAAGGACCAATACCTAATTCGATTTGACTTGCATTTTTCGTTTAGTTGTTAAACATGATATCGTTGATCCTTCCTGTTTAATACTTCCAAAATGATGCATTTGTTTTACATTCAGATATATGTTTAAATTCAGTCTAAACATTACATCAAACAGAAAACATTGAGAGAAGAAAAATTCTGAAAACATGAATTATTTTGTTTCACTTCATGTTTTAACATGCACCGGAAACTAGAGTTGTAACAATACCTGAGCTATACAATTTTGAATAGGTCCAACATGTTTACATTGGTGTGGACACGTTGGGTCGATCGGAACATACGTAAATCGGCGTGGATTGCATACAGTGAACTTGTTTGATGTGAACAGTCTTTGCCGTTGTCCATGCATATTTTAGATAAAACAAACAACAATAAAAACAAACTAATGTTATGAAATGTGCAAATACAATATTATCAAACTAAGTATTGTAAAATGCAATGTGTTTTGTTATAAAACGTTCTTAACTTGAACCTTTTATTATTTTTCAAACGATAATTCATTGATAGACAGTATTTTAACTCATAGGAATTTCTGTTGTGTTCACCCGATATAACATGATAGCGAGTCGAAAAAAAACCAATCTGCTCTCGAAAAAAAAACCCGGACATATAAAAATGAATTTATTCTCAAAATGTCCTTATGAATGCAATAACACTATTTTTTGTAAAGTGTATGTATATATAGTTTCCATGTATGAATTTCCTTTGACATTTGCATTCGTATGTGTATAGAAAGGGCTTTGTTTATATTTTGGAATAAAAGCATTTTAATGCCAACTTTAACTTTTATAACACAAAATACTATATGGTTGATAATGTTGATAATGCATTGGTATCACAAATATTAAATCAACTTGTGTGTTCTTGTATATTTAGTTTAAGCATCTGTGTCGCGTCTTACCAGAAAGGAGGTCTGTTCGTTTGCATTTAAATCGTATTCACTCGAAAAAACGTGGTCACACTCGAAAAACACGATCCAATCAATAAAAAAAAAAAAAAAAAAAAAACCACGATCCCAACCGGACGTTATACCTACCGTGATTTTACTTAGAAGTGATTTTATACTACAAGCGGAAGTTTGATATGGATACATAAGAATAGTAAATATTAAGTCCTTGAATTGTCTTTACTTCCTTATGTGTACGATAAAGTGCCTTCATAAAATGTGTGTACATTTAATAACAAAATGGTGAGAACACGAATTTACAAAGTACTCATGTTTGTCTTGGAATATGCACTTTTATGTTATGCGTTGAAAACAGGTAAGTACAGACAGCTGTCGAAAAAATTCCCGTGGTAAAACAACAATATACTTGTGGCCTTTTATTAAGTTTCTTTCATACTGAAATATAGTGTTCCTCGACAAAGAGCAAAACCTATACCGCACAGTAAGCTATACAAGACCCGGAAAATAGTATGGAACGCCACAGCTGTCTGATGTGGAACTCTGATATTACGTTATGTTGTTCTATTATTACTTGATGATAGTTTGTCTTTACATAATATGGTTTTGACATTACGTAATGATGTTTTGATAAAACTCAATATGGAATAGTCATTACATAATGATATTTCGATATTACATGATATGGTTTCGTATTGATTTGATATAGTTTTGTCATTACTTAATATGGTACTGTCATTACTCGATGTGGTTTCACCATTATTTGATGTGGTTATGTCATTATGCAATGTGGTTTTAACATTACTTGATGTGTATGTGACATAACGTAATGTAGTTGTTTCATTACATGATGTGGTTTTGTTATTTCGTAATAATGATTTGTCAATTCTTTATATGGCTTTAACATTACGTAATGATGTTTAAAAATTTGACGATTTTACACTACATAATGTGTTTGTTTCAGTATTTGATGTGGTTATCCCATTACTTCTACGAGGTAAAACCACGTGACCATTTTGGAAAAAATATGTTCTATTTTTAGACCGATTTCCATATGTCGTTTGTGTAATGCGCTTTGGATGAGTACCGCTATTCATTAAGTCAAAGTTCAAATTAAAGTTCAAGTTGTTGTTCATAGTTATTCGGTATGAAAAAGGGGAACGACAGACAAAATTAAGAAAAAAAGTACTAAAACATTTACAGTAATTCGGACATAAGGGGGGTGTCCAAAAACCACTTGCCGGTTTTTCCTTAGTTCTCAAATGGAAGTAGTATTATACTAAATTCGTAAATGATTCCAAGGAACACTGCTTTATCTTGGTCCTGAAGAATAACTCCTATACAAGTTTTAAAACAATTCATGGAGGTTTACAAATTTATTATGTCAAAATAGTTTAATTCGGTAATATTCAATGCCAAAAAAAAACTAACATAGAAATAAAAAAAAATGTGGTATGATTGCCAATGAGACAACTCTCAATCACATACCAAATGACGTAGAAGTTAACATATATGTGTGACTGTATGGTCTTTAAGAATGAGCAAAATTCATACCACATAGTAAGTTTAAAAAGGTCTCGAAATGAAAGATATAAAAACAGTTCAAACTAGAAACCTAACAACCTAAATGATGAAGACGACGACGATACTACGTGTGCTAAGCAACAAAGCATCAATTCTACAAAATAAGAATTCTCCAGGTGTATGTTCATTTGAACATATGAATATTAAACTTTTTTTTTTATTAATTGCAGTTTCTGATATACCACGCACTAATTGAAAAAAAAACTCTTTGAAATATCTGTTTCACAGGTGACGACGAATAGGTTCCAGTTGTCGTAACTACAATCCCGTCATTTTTCCTCGAATGTAAACTACCAAAAAAAAAAAAAAAATCACTGGGTTTGTACTTTCACGAATAACACGACGGGTTCCACAAGTTAAGCAAAATCCGCTTACCCTTCCAAAGCACCCCAGATCACGCTGATGGATTTGTGTTACCCAGTCATACTGTCTTTACATTTTCTTCTTATGCTGTGCTATGATACACTAGGTTAGGATATGGATAAGCGCTTACATACATGTTAAACTCCGCCGCGTGCACATTCCTTAAATGCCTGCCCCAAGTCAGGAACCTGTAGTTCAATGGTTGTCGTTGTTTCATGTGTGTCATATTTGTTTTTATGCGCCCGTCAAAATTTTATACAAATGTCGTCTGTCCGTCTGTCCGTGTGTCTGTCCGGCGTAAACATGTCGCACCGTAACTTGAGAACGACTTATCCAAATTTCATGAAACTTAACATAGTTGTTTCTAATGATGGTCAAACGATCTGTATACTTTTTGGTGAAAACAAGATTAAAACTTTTTGAGTTACGGGACTTAGTAACTAAAACAGGTGTGTGTATTTTTTTCACATGTCGCGCGGTATCTCAAAAACAATTTATGATTATTGCTTAAAAATACTTCATTTCCACTTCATATTGACATTGTTGATGGCGATGAATAAGATGGTAATATGATGTTTTAATGTAATACAAAGGAA